TCCAAGCATGGCAATAGTTGTATTTTATTGGCAAGTGTCTAATGTTCAGCCCATTGGCTCATGGTGAACACGACTCATTGAACAAATGAATGACTAATTCTCCTCATTGCACGAGTGATGTATGCTAGCTACTAACCTGCCTGAGGAACAGAGGGAGCTAATTCCTAAAAAGCACCACTCATTTAGATTACCTGGACACATTCCCCACAAATTCCATCTTCTTAGAGAAGAAGGCATAAAGAGCAATGGGAGAGGGCATGCAAAGAGAAGCTGCAGGAGGCAGTAGAAAGTTCTCCTTTGGTGAAGGCGAAGTCAACTCCAAGAATGAGGCTGAATATTTTCAGGGGAGAGAGAGAAATGCTTTAAGGGGATATTCAAGGAAACTTTCCAAATTGGGGCAATAATGAAGTACTTCAAATTATGGCACTTCATCGGAAAATGCTATTTTCATATAAACATTTATAGAATATATTTGGGACTGGTTTCTTTTTTGAACTCAGAAATAACATTCTGTAACCTGTAAGGAAATGTAAAAATGTAGTTAAAAAAAATGTAATCATATAAAACAACATCAAACCCTATAAAACATCTAAGCCCTTTTGTGGAATGTGAAACTCTTTGAATATTCTTTTAAACGGTTTATGTGGTACTAATGGCTGTGTGTGGCCACAGAGACCTGCAAAAACAATGACAGTTCTTTTATTTAGCAATTTGGAAATAGTGACCTTTAGGCTATATTTTGGGAAATTCTATGATGTCTTATTTGTTTAACTGTATTCTTACCTAGGGCTATGTACAGATGAGCAATGCCCATAGTTCATTCGGTCCTCCCTACTGAGATCAGTACTGATTAAATAGAACAAGACTAGAAATCTGTCACTCTAGATTTTATTTTTGTTTGTTTCCAGTGACACAATTAGCGTGAGGCCTGGATCAAGGATTAAATTCATTGTCTCATCCTAAATACTATTAATCTTATCCTCTAAGGACAATGGATTATGGGTTAAAGAGATTTATTTAAATCTCTGCTCTCTCTTTTTTTATAAGCTGCCATACATCTCTACGAAATAACTATTTGGAGGCAAAAAGTCACTGATTTAAAATTGAGAAGTTTTTCTTCCTTTTTTACCCTCCTTCACTTCCTCACTCCTTCCTTTTTTCTCCTCCCTCTTTCCTTTCTTTTATGACAAGCTGTGCAATGAGCGTGCAATGAGCGTGCCTGAAATGTACTCTCCAGATTTTTTTCCCTGCATTCACCAGAGGTGAACAGACCAGAAACTGTCATTGTTTCCATCAAATTGGAACTGTCAGCACATGTATGGGCAATATATAGAAGTTGGAAAGGAACATTTATCTTGGAAATGTTTTTGTGTGTCACACAGAGAAGAAATTATTTCTGAGTTTAAAAATAGTCAACACAACTTGGAAAACATGGTAATATTTATTCATGATAATAAACGTGTTTTAATGAAAGCCACGGATGTCCAAACACAAACTGAATCATGACACCCAATGGCCTTTTTTTTTTTTACAAAAACAATGACATATGTCCCATTAATTTGCTAAATGATATGAGTGCAGAAAAGATGAATCAAGAACACTAAAATTCTTTTAAACATACCCTCTAATAATAGACATCAACCCTAGACATGGCATTCAAAAATAGTCCCTTTACTTTAACTTCATCTGCTGAGTTTTTGTTACTAGACCTTTACAGATTTCTTTAAAGCTTTAATTGTTATCATTCATTTCAACACAAAACTGCTAGCACTTTGGCTTGACCTTCTACAGAAGATTAAACTCTATGACATTAGTACATATGCAGTAAGGTATACAAAGTCATTTGTAAATATGTGAGTCTGAAAGGGCCATCACAGACATCCAATAAACCATATATCAAATATATACCATGTGGTATATATAATGGTTGACTAGAAAAAATGATATACTTTCTAACTTATGTTTGTCCCTAACAACTTCAGACTCCTTTTAAATTAAACTTACTTATTTAGAAAAAAGTCAAAGTTTGTTAGAGATTTAAGTTGCTACCCTTAAATACTATTAAATCTGATGCTTAAATAATTATTTGTTCTTTTCAAAAAATTCACCTTACTCTTTTCTAGGAATAGTTTGGACGCATTTGCTGTCATACAAAAAATCAAGTTAAATGCAAGAAAAGACCTTTCTAAATAAAATTTTCTTACTGGAAACTTTAACATGGTCATCCTATTGTATCTTTTCAATTGAATTATCAGGATCTGCAGATTTAAAAAAGACAATAAGGTTTATAAATAAAATCCCAGGAAGAAAGGCACTTATACCCTGCACACAGTTATTCTAGTCTGTATACTCTGTAACCTTTATCAAATGGAATTGATTTCTGGCCTGTGTACAAATACATTAAAATGCCAGAATAAATTCAAATCAGAATGCTTTTGAAAGAGAATCAAGTTGGCCACCAAATGCTTCATATCGGTAGGATATTTCTTTAGAGGCTTTGGATGGAAATTTGAAGTGTATATTATCATATCGAGTGCAGGAGAGGTATAAGGCTGTTGGAGAAATTCCCTCTGTTTATTGACTAAAAAGCCAAAACAATTGTCTTTAAGAGTAAAGCTTGACAAGATAATTAAATGAATGATAACAAAATCTCAGCAGGGAAATGCCCATTAATTGAATTTATTTGGGAGCATGTTTTCACAAGTATAACCAAATTGTCTAATTTTCACTCACATTAAAAACTGATAGTCTATAACAACTAATTATTAGAGATGAAGTAAAAGGCCCATACTTTGAACCAACAACACAGAAGGAAACAAACATCAAAGGATTGCCATGATATTTGACAGCTTCCTAAAAATCCCATTCATCATTTTGCCCTGTGAAAATCTTTCAGTGAAACTCGCCAAAGGAAAAAAATCCCAGTAATTTCTATGTAATAGTGTTTTTAGAGCTGAAACATGTTTGCCACATTCTTTGTATCTTTTCAGTGATACTAATATGTCTGTTGGTATGAGTATGTCAACAGGCAAAATAACTGGAGAAGAATATGTTACAGATATAACAATTGAGTTTTGGCATTTCTTTTCTGTAGGAAAATTAGTGTCTTGTTTTCCTCTTTCATATCACTTATGGTTAGTTATTTTTAAAAATTTGGTTGCTGTGCTTATGTTGTACAGATAAAAAAATTTTGAATTAAAGCATCATTATGGCCAACTTTTAAATTTGAAATGAGGGATGAAATAAATTATACTTTACTCAGATTTTCTTCTTTGAGCTGTGAGCATGATCTCTCCAAATTCAAATTGGATAGTTTTAATGCTTTAGCAAATGACTTTCCAATTTCCGTAAAGCTAATGATGAGCCTTAAGATACATCTGTAGTATTCAACCAGATTTTGTTCATAGTCAACATACTCAATAGAAATGTAAATCTATGAAATCTGTTACATTCATATTTCTAACCCCATACTCTACATACATACAACACCTGGTAATAATTTTATATAATAGCAAAACAATGAAATAAAGTCCATTTTTGGCTTAATGTTTATATAAATTCTAAGCACCCTTGGCTATTTCCTCCTGAGGGAGGAAAATCTGAATTGCCAAAAATGCCAAAATATCATTTTAATAGGTAATGCCAAAAATGTCATTTTAATTTTGTGACTTAATTTTTTCTAAAGAAAATTGTCTAAATAAATACATTTTAAAGATATTGGTTAAAATGTAACAATATTCAAAAATATTTTTTGCACTTAAAAATTATGTTTCAGCTTTAAAAACAGTTCTTAATGTTCTGTTTATTGTGGGAAACCATTTTACACTCAGAAGACTAGCTGCTGTAATTATAAAACTAACAACTAACACTCATTCACAATGACTTTATCACAACTTGAGAACAGTAATAAAACCTAGAACTGCTTTTTATCTTCCACAAAGTTGATACTACATTAATTTAGAAAAAAGACTAGGACTGTGTTTGTTTTCCTAAATCATTTCCCTAAATTAATATAACACAGATGTCAGTTATGGCATATATAGGTAGATTGATAGATTAATTTAGAGCAACAGGTATGCAGATAGATATAAATATGGCCATCATTAAGATAGAAGAGAATGCTTGATTTTGCCAAGTGAAGTAATGCATATGAAAGATTTCACTCATATCTTATTTGTTGCCGTTTCTGTTTCTTTTTATCTTTTGTTTAATTGGTGTAATAAAAGACAGTTTTGTGATTAGCAATATTTCAGATGTTAAGCAATTCTTTTTCTTGGTTTACGTTGGCAGTTCACAGTCTAAAAGCATAACCATATTAAGCAAAAACTGCATGTAGACCGCTCTGGGTTTTGAAGACTTTTTGCCTCAACAGAGATTTTTACTTGAAGTTATAGAGTACTATCTACATTTACTTGATAGCTAATAATTGGGAATGGGAATTACAAGCAAAGAAATTTCTTGATACAGAAGATTTTATCTTTTAGTGTCAGCTTAATGTCTTGCTCAGCATTTTTTAGTTCTCTTAGGAGGATAACTTTTTATCCATTACTTTATGATAGTTTAATCACCCTTATATTATGAACCTAGCAATTCTCGTTCCATGAAATATTGCAAATTTATTTCCAATAGGCCTTTTCTTTGACTATGAAAATCAGAACCTGTGTTTCTAACTGAAAAGAATTGGCACATTTTATTTCTACAACACTTTCACATAGGAGGTATTTAAAAATACAAAGCTAATATTTTTCATGAGTTCCCGGGCTTATAAATTCACAATGTTAAAGTTTCATCGGTTTCATCTTAGATGAGACTTGCCTTTAAATACACGTGTGTTTTCTATAGAAGTTATCTATATGTCTTCAAAAACCCAACTGGTCTAGAAAAATGACTCTCTGAGACAGTCATGTTTCTTTTGTTATTAAAAAAAAAAGACAAAACAGCAATAAACATTTTAGCTCTTTAATGAGCAAAGATCATGTCTCTTAGCATTGGACTAATAGTCATTATCCAGATTATCTTTATTTCACGCAATGACCAGTGACATGGCCAAGATGTACAAAGTTGTTTCCATCAAGTAGTATACAATTTTTTTTTTTTTTGTATAATAAGCTTTCATTCTTGAAAAAGAGTAACTGAAAAGAAAGGTTTCTGTTACTGCAGTTAGTTTGTCAGAGAAAGTTCTTTGCATTATCTTACAAACTATCAAAATTGCTAGTCATCTGAAAAAATGTAAAAAAAAAATCACATAACTTTAGTCTAATAGAAATATAGTACAGGTAAGAGAGAAAGTATTTATCAGGATGTGCTCTTTAAGTCCATCTCAATTTTTTTTAATATAAATGTACATCTGATTACATATACAAACATTTGGAAAGGTCTGTGATATACTGTTACTGGTAAACAACAGGGGGATGAAGAGTTTCCTGTGGTCTTAGAGTATTCATTTAAAATCACACATACGTGTAAGACTAAAATCCTCCAGGTGTTGACTCTCCTTCTAGGTTCTGTATCTATGTTGTACTCTACTGAGATTGGGTGAGTAAATTCCAGTGAATGAGCCTTAGTGAGAAAGATAAGTGACATGAGGAGGGATATAACTGTATATTGAATTCTTATTAGTAAACATTTTGTCATGCAACATGAGTAAATCAATTAACTGAGAACAGTAATCAGAGTGGTAATTTGGGGCATCCTCATATCATAGAAGACTGTTGCAAGTAACTCTTTGGACACACTTCACCTTACCAAAAGGAACAAAATACAGAATAACAAAAACCACAGCAAATTATAGATCCTGTAACACATGTCCAATTAGGGTTGTATTTCTATAAATTATTTAGATTGGGATGAAAAGAACATTAAAAACACAGGAATTTCTTTTTTCCTGGGATTCGTATCAGCGAGTATTCACCACTATGCCTATAGTTTCTTCAAATACCTTTAATAACTAATTCTTCCTATTATCAGAACTACTGTGAATTATTTACTCCTAATTAGTTTTGCCCCTTAAAATCTTCTTTAGGTTCTGCCAATTGGTGGAGGAAGCTTCTATTAAAGACTCCAATGGGATGAGAAGAATTTTAATTACGGCTTAATCAGCAGCACAGCCACCAAGCATATAAATTATCATGCACATCGTGCTAAAAATATCCAGTTTCCTTTATCCCCACAACTTTATACTGACAGCACTTATGTGATAATGTTGTACCTGCCAGTCTTTAAACTTCTTTGTTTTACTGGCAAATTTCAGCATGAGCCTCCGCTAAGGCCATTAACAGCATTGGTGCTTTGTGTACTTATCCAAATATGTAAATATGGTCTACACAATAAAACGCCTCCAAATAAAAACTGGTGAAAATTATCTGACATTCCATTGGTGTGTCCCTTGTGCATATTCATGGTTGTTGTTTTTTTTTATTTTTATGATTTATATTTCAGACATAGTTCTTTCCTGTTTGGTGTTCCACATGCCTAATTCCATTATGTAACATAAATCTTCAAAAAATTATTTCTTGAATGTGAATGAAAAAGTATCATTCAGAACAATTGCTTCAAGCAATTGAAATTCATTTTTAAAGTTGTTTTGTGTATATATGTACAATTTATTTTTTTTCAAAACCCCCAAAGTTCTTGATATGTATATTCACATAATATTCCTCCTTATTTAAATAGTAAGAGTCTTGTAGGTTGAAAGCCAAGGAATCTTCAGTAATCTTTTACTGCAATCCATCAAAAAAATAGAGTTTGTTTCTCTTATCTGGCTATACCCTGGTTGTTGAATGTGAATGGGGGTGGGGATGGGGATGGGGCAGAGTATTGTTCTGTCCTCCAGTAAATGTATTGAATGTGTGTAAGGGTTGAATCCCTGGTATAGTGTTGGGAATCATTGTAATGGTGTTGGGTGTCATTAAGGGAACATCATCAGGTGACCTCCTCATAGCTAGTGTGTAATCTGGGGGGCAGGCGGTCCGAAGAACCACCTCATGTGGATGGATGGACTCACATTCATGATCCAAATCAGTGTGCTTCATTTGGAGGGACATGATCTCCTCTTCTTGTGCGTGGGTCAGATCGTTGGTAGTAGTGCGTTGAGGGCTGCATCTCCTGTGAACATCATGTCTCCTCTTATCCTTTTTGTAGTACAGGGCTGCAAAGGCAAGGATGTTCAGAAACAGCAGTGATGCTCCAACCGCAATAGTGACGCTCAGCTCTGTGGAGTAGTCCCTTTGATCCACTGAAAATGGACTTGGTTGTTGTTTGGGATCGTCCTGCTTGGCAGTGGGAAATGCTGATGTGACAGGTACAGAATTCTTTCTCGTAGGTCTGAAAGTGATGTCGGTTGATGGCACTTTAGTTGTTGTCGAGGTATACTGAGAAATGTCATTGAGATTATGCAGATGAGGTACCAGCTCCAACCAGAGGTTCACCTTATTGGCTCTGTAATGTTCTTTAACTCTTGGTTTTAATCCAATATGGAGATAAAGTTGATCTTTCTGGGAATATCTGGTCCATGCTACTTCTTCGAAGCGGTTGGGTTTGGTATGGATGAATTTCGTGTCTTGAGGGACTGGTTGATTTGGGTCACTAGGAAAGAAAAAAGCACTATGAGAACAAAATTGTTTTATTCTTTTTCTTAGCCAAAAGAGTACTAGTTTAACATTGAATTGGAGAGGTAAATTAGCGGGTTAGCAAGGCCTTAAGACTGTGTTTTAATAACAATTGGGTCAACTTAGAAACACAGATCCTATTGCAGGCAGCTTAGGTGGATGATAATGTAATGAGAGTAAGCCTCACATTCTTATTCTCTTTGCGCATTTAAACATGGGCTACTATCTACCCAAAGATATAAAAATTCATATGCATATGCATTGTCTCCTAGGCAAACTAACAGGGACAGCATGGGATTGAGGAAAAGACTTGAGTTTTGGAATTGGCTTATGAGGTTTTAAGTTCTAATAGTGCAACATACAAGACATATGAATATCTATTTGAAGCTAGCCTCTTATCACCTCAGTTGCTTATTTGCAAAATTGATTAACAATACCTGACCTGTCCGTCTAACAAAGAAGGTAGAAGGATCAGAGGGCAAACAATACTATAAATTGGGAAGCACTATAAAATATTCATCACTACTAAATAATAATAACAAGTCTTGTGTAATAAAAAACACAAAATAAGTTTAATTACTGAGTAATGCAACAGGTTTCAAGGCTTTCTTAGTAAACTTCTAAAAAATAAGAACTAATAAAGCAATGATTTCTGAAATAGCACTATATAGAATTTTGAATAAAGAAACCTAATACTTTATTGACATAAATTTATTAAATGAAATCACTTGGACACAAAATGTGTATTATTTTTAAATGCTTACAAGGATATTTTTATTAAATTATAGAAAACTTTATTCCTAAGGTACATACCCAGTTTTGGCAAAATTTGTCCAGTATGTCATTACAACTGCACTCAGCATCACATCATTTTTGGAGAAATTGCAAGGAAATAACTCTGTAGGTCCAATCATGGGGATTCCTAGTACGTAGGGAACCTCATCTCCATGAGCTGCATCAGCCCAAGCTGGAACTTGATCTGTTTGGCAATGATGGTAAAAGGCATAGAAATATGTAGGTGAACCAAAGTTTGAGTGAAGATCTGCTGTAGCCACAGCTGGTGCCACCCACTGATGGTCTGTAAACAAAGCCAATAATGTCTTCCTTCTGGTTTCAGGGTTATGACGGTCAGCCCAGTCAGTATACATGAATTTAATGGTTTCTCTTAAAACATCTTTGCCTTCAGGATATCCATATAAATTATCAACAAAATTGGAAACAGCAAAGTCAAAATCACTAGCTGATATACCATCATCACTATCTACTATATTTTCAACAAATTTCAACCCTTCCCCTTGGTTAACTCCTAACATTATATCATAGTTGAGAAACTCTCCTTGCTCCATCAATATCTGAGGGTCATCTGGTATTACATCACCATCAATCACAGGTCCAAAGGCTATGTGGTATCGTGCTGGTTGAATATCTTGGTCAACAAGTTCTTTGTAAGGCTTCTTCTGTAGGCATTCCACTAACTCTACTGTATCTGAAACATTGCAACCAACTTTTGTGGCCAACATTCTAGCGTATTTTGCAGGTTGGAAACTAACAGCCCAGCTGGAAAGCGCTGTTCCACTTTGAGCTATGGCTCGTTGGAAAAGTCCTATGGGAAAAAAACAAACAAACAAAGAATTTGAGATGACTTTTGAATAATGTTGTGGCAAAACAGTAACATCTGATATTTTAGATGTGTATATAAAAACCCATATACAACTCAAGAAACAGGAAGATAGAGACATTTTTGCTTAAGAGAAGGTACATAAAGTCATCCCCAGGGTATAAGGAGTCAGAGAGGTAGACTAAGTCTTGTGCTTTGAGTGGCAACTGCTTTAGGGATCAAGAGGTCTAAATTGTTTGGTGTCTCAGAGAGGCAATAAGCAAGGAGAGAGGGAGAATGTGTAAATATTAGTGGTAAGAAGTCCCAAATATTTTTTTTCAATCCACATGTAAACACTCATGTTATTATAAAAGTCAACCAGATGGGCTCTCTCCCCCTTAACTCCTCATTAGACTTTATATTGTTTTTTGAGAATATTTCTTCCAACTTGGCTGTACACATCTTCCTTCAAAATGGCTCTGTATGTTTGTTTTATTCAGATTTATTTTAAAAAAGGATTGTTGGGAGCTTACACAACTACTGGGGCTGGGGATTTGCTAATACCCTGGGGATGGCCCTGAAGGCACACAAAACAGAATATTACTTTAGACATACTCTTTCCAGCTCTTCATGTCAGACATAGTATGCTGAATATTCATCTTTCGGAAGAAGATATAACACTTGAAGTGTTTTCACTAGGTTAAAGAAAAAATCATCAGCAGAAAGATTCAGTGGGGGTGATTTAACTTTTTCCACTGTTGAATGTGCACTGCTATATTTTATCATAAAAGATGAAAAATACATGGTCCACTGCTTTTAACTTAATTGCATTTAAGAATTATAAATCATGGTCCCATATGCAGTTTGATAAGAGCTGCATGCCATTCAAATTTACAAATGTACTTTATCTACCCATTAAGGTATTTTCAAATAAAATTCTTGTTTTAAAAACATAATTTACCTATTTTCTTTAAAAAATTATATTTATTATCAATTTCCAAATATAGCTTTGTAGTTCAGTTATTTAAACACATGCTCAATTATTCATATGTGTTAATGAGATAAGAATTCTTTTCACAAAGGTACTAAAGCAGTATCTGAACTAGAAGCAAGGTTTTAGATTTTTCTCCAAACATATATATTTATTCAAAATGTCTATAATATGCTCCTAGATAATTCTAAAAATATTCAAAAAGTCAAACAGTACCAATTTAAATTTGTTTTGGTTTCTGACATCTTTATGAACATATTTTTAGTTTGCCAGAGCAAAGTATGCTAGAGCGAATGATATAAATACAGACAATTTCTAAAAATTACATAGGCTATGTGTTTGTTAACATTTGCTCAGAGAAATATTTTACTAATTCAAAACTTTTCAACTAAGGTAAACCTGGTGATTATTTCCCATTTCAGGGGCTCAATGATATTAACTAAATATACCCCAAAAATTTTAGGAAAAATTTACATCATATTAAATAAAGTCTGAAATGTGCCATCTAGATAGTATTGGAAAAATCATATATTTTATCATTTGTGAAAATGCTTATTATGTATATATAATCCATGGTGGACTCCTGGTATAAACAGTCCTAAGCATTGCTGTAGCTCTGGGGTTTTATAGACTTTAAATCTACGTCTGCACCGGAGACAGAATTAGCCTAATGATTTTAAGATGTCTCCGGGGCATCTTCTGGTAGAAAAAAAAATCAAGCAGCCTTTTGGTGGAGTTAGGCTTAAGACTAAGCCAAATGTAAGTCCATTTTTCTGGCCCCACAAGGACAGTTTTCCTTGAAGAGTGTGATGGAATATTATATTTTCAAATGTTGGCATAGCCACTGGCCACTGTTTACCAAATCATCAATTGATGAATAGAGGTGCTAGCCAATGAACTAATTAGCTTATCTCTTTATCAGTTGCTAGTTTTAGATTAGTTGACTGGCTTTGGTGCCCATTTTTGCTCTCTATCTAGAAAAACTTTTAGATTAAATAGGAAGAAATAACATTTGAGATCAAGTGACCCTATGAAGTCTGAACAGATTGTCTAATGTTAACTATATAAAGACTGGCATTAGCACAGTCTCAGCTAGAACAATCTAATCTCTTCAATGAAAAAAACCTAAACAACAAATATTTTGTTATTTCAAAATAAGCCACTTAATTACAGACCAAGATCTCTATACAATTGGAAATGTTCTCATAGGTTTCATTCTGTCATCTCAAATCAGAGCTCTACTAACATAAATGAGATGTTATATAAACTATATCTATAAATTAAGTCTATGATAATATATGATTCTCCAAATATATATACTCATTTAATGATAGGCTGTTTGGAAATAACACATCAGTGTATTTTTGATACTGAAAACAAATATTCTATGTCTGATGCTCACATCATTAAATTCAGTCTTACAAATCACGATGCTTCATGAATTATACTTGACAGCATATACTTCCTTCATATATATAAAATGACAATAAAAAAGCAGAACACACAAAATCATCTATGTTAATGTGTATTCTTTTTTTTTTTTTTTAAAGATTTTATTTATTTATTTGACAGAGAGATCACAAGTAGGGAGAGAGGCAGGCAGAGAGAGAGGAGGAAGCAGGCTCCCTGCCGAGCAGAGAGCCCGATGCGGGGCTCGATCCCAGGACTCTGAGATCATGACCTGAGCCGAAGGCAGCGGCTTAACCCACTGAGCCACCCAGGCGCCCCGTTAATGTGTATTCTTCATCTTCCTATCTGTTATGTATAATGGAGAGAAAGTATTTGCTTTTACAGATTTTTCCAACAACCACTTCTGTTCTGGTGGATATTTCAAGTTAATAATGGGATTAGAATGAGTGACTTAAACTCATGGTAAAATGGGAATCCATAAAAAAACCAACGTGATGAGCCTTGGACAGGCACTTTGGAAAAAGGGTGTCAAGGCCAGAAAATGGAGACAAAAAAAAAATATTTCATGGGTTTATGCAGCTTAGTCCTCCATGCTGCTTTAAAGCCAAGCTTTGGGTGGGTGGGAGGTGGAATAAACATTTTTGAAGTTGAAAACAGAAAAATCACAGATTCAAACCTAATTTTCCTTTTAAGGAAAAGCTCTACTAGTGACCTTGATGCTTTGACAATTTTGGATCATGCATGCAAAATAATCAAACATCCATTCTGTACTTAGGTAACAAATGAAAATCTTGTTTCCAGACAAACCAGCTTATCACTGCTTCCTTATCTTCTTACCAGTAAAGGGTTTTACATCCATTGTCTTGAAAATAGATTATAAACAATCTTTGCATTTAAAAAGAACCTGTCTTTGATTTTTGATTACTGAATAAACAGAGATGACAACTGTGAACATCTTTGATTTTCCCCAAAATTACCCTTTGAGAGGAAAGAAAAGTAACTGTAATGCTAACTGTTCTGAAGTGTGCTTGAAAGGGCATCCTTACCAAGCTCCACGGGAGACAAAGAAAAGAGTTTGACAAAAATTGAAACATGCATAGAAAAGCTGAAGAAACAAAATTTTAAAGTTATTGAGCTCAACCTAACATTCAGTTTGAACAGAGAGATATATACAGAGCATCACATACTACTGATGGTGGTGGCATGCAGACACCAAAATTGTCAAAATTTGCAACCTGCATAATACCTTTGGTTGAATTGCTCCAACGGTTACCTTCAGAATAATGGGATAAAGTCAGGAGATTGACACATGAACCCCCAGCGCCAGATCCAAAAACAGTGATTCTTAAGGGGTCACCACCAAAGAATCCAATGTTCTCACTAGTCCATCTTAAAGCCTGTATGAGATCAAGGAGTCCATAGTTTCCTTTTGCAGCCTGATCCCCTGTGCTCAAGAAACCTGGAAGATCAAAATGAAAAGATACCTTAGAACACCTTTTTGAGTTGACATGAATCAAATAGACATTCAATTTAAATACAGTTGAAGCCTGTATTCATCAAGGTGAGTAGAGTCCAAGTTCTTTAGTAAAAACTTATTTCCCACCAGAACAAAAGAATATACTTTAGGAAGAAGAGTAGACACTGAAGTCTGAAAGATGACATTTACCTTCCCCAGGTTACCCAGGTAACAGGTAACAGGGGAAGAAAGGACTCTTGAAGATAAAGAGAATAAAAACATTCTGAAAAACCTCAGGGGAGACATTCTACCAGCCAAATTACTTAGAGACATTTGGGATAGTACCATGGGGCATATGAGAATGTGCTTTTGCATAAAACACTGTGTCAGTCCACCAGTCGCTCATGGTCTAACATGGCTGGAATTTAAGGAATGTGTTGCAAAGTGGCAGGGTGTGAGGGTGAAGAGCAGGGGTATTTTTCTAACATTTGTGCATAAAATTATATGCAACTCTTTGCATGTAGATGTATATGTGCATTTTTATCAAAGATGCCCCATGCTTAAGAAAGAGTCACTGTGTTTGAGGTAATTTGGGGCCACATTTTGGAATACCTTAAATGCTAAACTAAGCGAATTGGTTTAATTAGAAAACAACATAGAATAATTAGAGATTTTTGAAAGATTCAGAGTCATATATCTAGAATGTTTAAAGCTGTGCTTTACAGTAAATCTGAAAATCAGGAGGCATATATGCTGCATAAGAAAAAGAAAGGAAGTAGAGGAAAGGTTACAAGGATCTGACAGAGTGGCAAAGAGAAAAAAGGATAAAAAATAAAATCCTATAACTGAGAACTGAGTGAGTTTCTTATACATAGAAGTTGTTTTAGAAGAGGAGTCGAAGATATTATTTTAATAATACTTTAAATATATTCATTCATTTAACTGACTTAATAGCTTTTATAATGTTCATTATAACTTATAAAACAAATATCTACTCTCTAATATATTTCCACATTTGGTATAAATGCGAAAGTATAAAGTAATTAATAAAAAATTCCATTTTATTGACTATTCACATATTGTGTAGAAAACATTTAGAGATATACTACATATGAAGTGATTTTATTCAGGGATGTAATTTCCAATCCACCAAGTTTATAGAACTAATTTTTTTTTAAAGATTTTATTTATTTATTTGACAGATAGAGATCACAAGTAGTCAGAGAGGCAGGCACAGAGAGAGAGGAGGATGCAGGCTCCCTGCTGAGCAGAGAGCCCGATGCGGGGCTCGATCCCAGGACCCTGGGACCATGACCCAAACTGAAGGCAGAGGCTTTAACCCACTGAGCCACCCAGGTGCCCCAGAACTAATTTTTTTTTTTTTTGAATTAGAGATATTCTCTTACTGCAGACCCATTATAGAAACTCAATATAAAAAAAAAAATAAAAATTATTTTGTTCAATTTGAAATACACCTTTATTTATTGAATATAGTTATTTTATAACTAAACCAAGAAGTCAGTTATATTTGTGATAATAGTACCTATCAGCTGAATAAATCAATCTATACCCAAAGTGAATATAGGGGCAAGAAATTCTTTAGAGGGCACCTGGGTGGCTCAGTTGGGTAAGCGACTGCTTTCGGCTCAGGTCATGATCCTTGGGTCCCGAGATGGAGTCCTACATTGGGCTCCCTGCTCAGCAGGGAGTCTGTTTCTCCCTCTGACCCTCCCTGTTCTCATGTTCTCTCTGTCTCATTCTCTCTCTCTCTCTCAAATAAATGAATAAAAGCTTAAAAAAAAAAAAAAGAAATTCTTTAGGGTCATTGTAGAAAGCAATAGATGAAGATGAATCATGAATAATTTTGCAAAAAAAACTAAAATGAAGATGATTAGTCATTCTTTTCTACAAGACCAAAAATTCTATAAAACAAAACCAGAATCTCTAGTCCAGCATGTGTGTGTGTGTGTGTGTGTGTGTGTGTGTGTGTGTGTGTGTATGACACCAGAAATAAATCATCCTTGAGACGGAGGTTAACTTTTAACACAGAATATCCAAATAAATACATCTTCCTGGTCATACTCATTGCTTTTATTTTTCTTTATTAATCTACATAACAATTTAAGGAAATCTTTGTGGTATCTTCTTACAAAGAAGCACTTTCAGGAGCAACTAGGGTGGCTTTGTCAGTTAAGCAGCTGATTTTTTATTTTGGCTCAGGTCATGATCTCACGGTCCTGAGAGTAAGCCCCTTGTCAGGCTTTTCACTGAATGTGGAGTCTGCTTGAGATTCTCTCTCCCCCTCCTCTTCTGACCCTTCCCCTCTCCCTGTTCATGTGCCCATTCTCTTTCAGAGAAAAAAAGAAGCACTTTCAAACACTCAATAGTCATATAAATGAGAGCCTATTAAAATACAAAACAAAAACATGGCAAAGAACTCTTTTAACTTTATTTGTTGTTAAGTGAATTTTGGTATAAGACAGAACCATTGGTTTAAATTCCTGAAGGGATCCATTATAAATGTTTTGATCTATAAACATAGACTGATAACATGAACCTTGAAAACAACATTATGGGAGGATTACCGTATGTTAGATAGAAAGGACTCTTGAAGGATAAAGGAGGTATAAGTGTGTGTGTGTGTGAGAGAGAGAAAGAGAGAGAGAGAATGTGAGAATGAGAGCATACTCCAGTTTATTATCTAGATTTCTATATCACAAATACATTCAGATGAAATTTGATTTCTGAATATAGCTAATGCTACTAGTTTGCACTAACTCCAGGATTTGAATTTAATTCCTCTTGAAATATTATTGAATAATTCCAGTAATATTAAATGAATCTTTATATACATACAAAATTGACTTACCAATAAAATAATCATAATTCAATATGTAGCATGTGGAGAACCATGGTCATAAGATGATTATCTCTACATTAACTAAAAAAAATCCCCTCTATAATTCCAGTTTTAGTGGCATCATTTAAAACATTCTGGTAGGTTGGTCAAATAATTTTGTGTTTATATAGCAAACTTGTAAAAGCATGTCAATTGCCTGAAAGGCAACATCCACTTTTTATATAATTTAAAGAAATCTTGTAGCATCTTCAAGAAAAAAAAATTTGAACAAAATTAATTCGATTCAAAGTTGCACTGTTAAGTCATAGCATGAAAAATGGAGTAAATCATCAGGTAAAAGATTGTGTCCTAAGTAGACTTGGAGTGTCCAAGCTACTCTGTCAAACTTCATTTTTACCTCTCACTCCTGAATTTCCTTCACTATTGATTTTTATTTCATGTGTATGCTGTAGCTTATCTATCTCTATCATCTATCTCTGTAGCTATTACCTATCTATGTGTGTTCCAACTAAAAGCAAGTGATCATTAGCATGAGTACAGAGAGCCACTATGGGTTTTCGATTAGAAAAAATCATAGGTATTTGCTGTCTTTATTAAGGCCAGCCAACCAATCAAATCTACCTTTTAAGACCCGAGAAAGTAATACTACATGCTTGTATGAATTCTTTGATTTCTGATGTTATAGTCAAACAAAACTTTGTGGTTCAGCCAAGGTGAAAAATGAATGTTGAGTAGATCACTGCCTCGAAAGACACAGTTTGCTAATTACCCGAGGGATGTGCGTGGCAGTGTTCGTTATACCTTGCTCCCCAGTGAAGTGTCATTTAAAGTTCTCTTTAAACTCGACGTAGCAGCTGTGTCCTTAACAGTAGAATTATTTCAGACCACTCTAGCTGGAACTTTACATTGGACTGTCCAACTGCAGTCCAGGCATGGCAGAACTGAATTTTACAAAGATCCTAAAGTGTTGCTTACCATCATGATTAGTTTGGAGACGATTTTTCCCTTAATACTACTTAAGTCATTCCCTATGGTCACTCATTTATCAGCCTCTCCCAGCCTTCAGTTGTAAGCTCCTAGAATGTATGACTAATTGATGTCCTGACACAATGACACATTATTTTTGTAAGACAGAATAATAATGATTACATGATCTTCTCTTTTGGGGGGGAGATAGCAACAGAATTTTCCAGAAAATAATATTCAACTGTCTAATTTACTTGACTCACGAGTATAAAACCTTGAAAAAATATTATTCTGGAACTCAAGGTAAACTTTCAAAATTCATAATTACAAGTATGCCAAGAATTATTTCAAGTGGCTCATGTATACACTATAATTCTCATCTGACTGTGTTCAAATAGAATTTATTTAAATATCATTCTTCCCACCTAAAAATTTGTCCATTAAAAAACATCTCCAAACATTGTTTTTCCTACATAGACTACTAGTTCTACTGATCTGATTAAATTTACTGAGCAGGTTTGGCATCAATGTGATGTTTACCTCATCTGGCGAGTAGGATTACTTTCAGGTGTTAGTGAGAAACCAAGCAACTGAACATGGGTCCACAAGCCCTTGGAGTGGAAAAATCAGAACAAGCATACAATAAATGGGCAAGGGGAAAATAAATAAAAACAGATAATCACTGTAACCAGGTACTGGGTTGGGCTGCTGATGTCCACCAAATTCAGATGGGCAGACCTGAAGGAATATAAGAGAAGCTAAGTTAAGTTGTCCCGCAGCAACCCAGCAGCCGATGGGTTGACTCAATCTATATTCACGTCTCTTACAGAGTAACCACATAGGCAACATACTTAGAATGTAAAACAAAAGGAAAGCAAGGTGCTTCTTGGTCGAAAAAAAGATTGAAACATATTCAAGGGGGAAATAGACTAGGAAAAACGCAGACTGTTTACATTCGAGATGACATCTAGAATATCAGAAATTGAAGATGTCAGTGACTCTACACTGCAGGTCTGCTTCCTTTTTAGGTGGAGGAGGGAAAATTTGAATGTCTATGCTTATAGTGTTTAATATCTGAAAGTGTTCATATATATGTGTGTGTATGTGTATATATATATATATATATATATAAATATATATAAATATATATATTATATATATACATATATATATATCT